CCATTTCCCATTTACTGGATGTGTTCATTAAAAGACAGCGCTTAGAATAAATGTATAATATACGACTGATGTATAGAGTTATCCTGCGGGAGTATTAAATTAGGAAAATTATTTTGACACCAGTTGAACATCGTTGTATATAAAATCTAATTGAATTGTGATCCTAACAAATCCTAAAAACGAATAACCGCACAGTAGTGCGCACTGTTATTAACAGCTCAGTAACACTGCTAAGCTTTTGAATGTTAACAGAAAATGTTATGTGTATCGAAGTGGATGAACTGGTAAATTGGTTCATTTGTTCAGTTTAGTGAATCGTTCGATCGAACTTATTCCGGAACTCTGCCAGACACCAGCCAAGATGACCAAAGATGTGGACAGCGCGCAAATAGATAATGTTGGTGCAGTGGTAAATGATGAAAACAAAATGCCGCTTCGGTCAGAAAACAAACCAAACGATGGCGCCGCATCGGAGTCGAATGGCACGCAAAACGGGGAAAACAAGTCAGAGTCAAATTCGCCCCAACCCAACGGAATTCAAAACAATGAGGATGCTGCAGATGCTGATGAGAACGAACTGCTTAAGCGCATGCGTGGTGATGCCGTTGGCGAGACAATGTACAGCAAAAAGTTCATATTGCAGACACTGATGCGTCTCAGCCAGCAACCAGCGCAAACAGCATTGGGGTTGGAGCTGGAGGATGATTTGTGCAAGGTGTGGGATATGTCTGTCTCGCCGGAAGTGGTCGCACTGCTACTGGAGAATGATGCCATCGAGCTAATCATGTTTGCCATCTCATCGAGCGAAGATGTTCGCCTCTATGAGATACTTATTGGACTGCTGGGCAACATGTGCGCGCAGGTTGAATGTGTGGAGCAGCTGACGGCACACGCGGATTGGATTGAGATGCTGCTAAAGCTGAGCACTTGCATGGACACATGCATGCTGCTACAGCTGATGCGTGTCTATCAGTATGTCATGGCGCATGTGGTCAGCGGCAAGGAGCAGCTAGCCATCGATTGGTACATCTGCTTTGCCGCCTTCGATAGCTCAGCAAAGAATCTCGGCTTTATACTGCAGCAATCTGTTAGCGATGAGCTGCTGATAGCTGCGCTTAAGGCCATTAATGCTGTGCTGGCCAGCTGTGCTCTGGTGGAGGAGGAGAACGCCCAAACGCCGGACATTAAGCTGAAACCCTTCTCCGAAGTGTTTCTAGTGCCGGAGCTGTGCGATGGCGTCAATAATGCTTTTGTGCGTCTCATGCGCGACGATCTGGCGAAGCTAACAGATGAGGTCGATAGCGTTTCGGCTGGGCAGGCAACAGCCGGCGTTGATGATCCCGATGATGCGGACGAGGATGGCGATGAGTCGAGCACACCAAAAATAAACTGCGAAATCGAAGTAATTCAAACCTACCTCAATATATGCACCATATTAGTGCAGCTGCCAGAAGCGCAGTTATCCATGGATCTATATGCCTCCAGCATTATGTTTTGTCTGACCCGCATTTTACAATTTCTGCAGCAGCCCATGCAGCTGCTGCCACTGGGCGAGCGACAGGAGGAATACCTCGAGGATTTGGCCCACATATGCAGCGTGCGTATTGAAAACTTCATAAATTGTAATCCTTACTGAATCCCGCTTGAATTCATTTTCAGTGTCTGAAATATTTCTATGACAAGGCGGCTTTTGCTCATCTACTCGGCGTCTGGTCAATTCTGCGACGGCACATTGAAGACTATGCCGAATACGATGAAAATGATTTTGATGCCTACGAAGATGAGCCGCGTTCGCAGTACGAGGAGAATGCATTCAAACTGCTCCGCCTGCTGGGTCATATGCTCGTCAGAGCTGACGTTCCAGTCTTAACGAAGGATATACAAGAAATTGATGCCATTAAAGTGGAAATGCTGCGCGCTGCTTTGCAAGCGGAACAGGTCGAAGATGTGCTCCTTCAGAGGGCACATCAGCGCCTCAGCGCGGTTTTAAATGACGTAGCTGGCCAAGCCAAATAATAATACTCAGAAACAGGACTGATAATTGTTGCACATATGCACAATTCATACATAAATACATACTTATACTTATATACACATAAAAGAAACTATCAATAGCCTGTATGCAACTGCTTAGGATTATTGGTTAAACCTTAATTTGATTCACCTAATTTTATTTTTTGACGCAGTGAATCGGTCCAGGACTGCTTGCCCAGGCGCACGCCATTCTCCCCGGTGCTGCTGATGACTAAATGATGCTCTTTTCCATTGTTCAGCAGGAATTCACTTTTGTCTTCGCTCAGTGCGTGGGAAACATGCTCCAGCTCGTTGTTTAGATTAACCTGACTAGCTTTTACTTCTATGGTAATATTCTCAATGGCCTCCGATATGTTGATGATGGCTTCGTCTATGAGATTCTGCGCTACAATCTCACTTTTGCCATTCAGCTCGGACAGCTGCAGGTTCATGCTGCCGCCCTTGGTAACCACGCTCAGGTTGCCATGTACGCCAGCTGGAGAACAAGCCACTATATAAATGATTGGATGGATTAAGCCATTATAAACTCACTCATCTTTAGGTCACCCGATTGATGGACATAAACTTCGCTGGTCTTGTGCACATTCTTAAGCTCCATGCGCCCGGTTGTAGTTTCAAACTTGGATTTCTCCACATAACAGCAATCTGTATTTATGTCGCCAGCCTGTGTGGAGCATTTTAAGCTGTCGCCCTGCAGCTTGTCCAGATTGATGTTCTGTTAAGCATAATTTACAATTAAATAGTGTAAGTATTGACAATTGCGGCAGCTTCTTACCCCATTGTGTGTTTCGATTTCTGTGCACTTGCCCAGCAGCGTGCCCTCACAGATGATGTTGCCATTTTCGCTATGCAGTGTAATGTCTGTGGCGCGCACGTTCTTGGTGACTATGTCCCCGGATGCCTTAATCTTTAGTGCCACGCCTTGTATGCCCTGTACTGTGACTTTGGCGTCCGCATCAATGTGCACCTCGGCTTGTACTGGAATTTTCACATGACATTTAAAATGCGAGTTTGGTTCGGTTTGCTTTTTGACCAACACATTCACGATCTTGTCATCATCACTAACGTCCACATCCAGGGTGGCTTTACAGTTGGACACTGGACCACCGAGCAGCTGTGCTATAAACACATTGCCACTGGTGTGCACATGGACATCAGCAGGCTCCACATGCACGGATATGTCCGATTTAATATTAATACGTGCAGAAGGGTTTACATAACGCAGCAACTCCTGGTGCACCATGCGTCGGTTGTTCGCCATGCTGAATTTTGGTTTTTTGGCGTAGTGTCGGAAATAGCTTTGTATTGGTGTAGCCGGCAACCAAAACAAACGTTGTAATATTTGCATTATTTAGAAATTTGCTGAGGGCGCCTTCGATTTGTTTACAGCTTTTATCAAACAGCTGTTTAGTTGTATTGCTGCACAGCACTGTTGCTACGATGCGTTGTGCAGTACTATAAATGCGTACACGGGTTTTAATAAAACGGGCCAAAAATGTAAACAAATACTTTTATAAGTTAGTAACTTTTTATTTATGGTAAATGTTGCACATATTTTTTATTTCTGGTTGAAATAAATCTTTTCTCCTGCAACCGTGTTGGCAACCGTGACAGTAGCTGCTACTGTGTGTGTTTTGCAGCACTTTATCTAAGTTACTGTGGCCTTAACCAACACTGTATTTATCCAGTCCAGTTGGAGTTTTTCAGTGTTCTTCGACGGGTGTGCAAAATTTTTGTGCGCAGTAAAATAGTCGAGTAATTAGCCCTTACAACAGTTAAAATAATACGAAAATGTCTGGCAAAGATAGGTTACCGATTTTCCCGTCGCGTGGTGCCCAAATGTTAATGAAGGCACGTCTCGCTGGCGCCCAAAAAGGTCACGGCCTGCTCAAGAAAAAAGCTGATGCATTGCAAATGCGTTTCCGTATGATACTGGGTAAAATCATTGAGACGAAAACTCTGATGGGCGATGTTATGAAAGAGGCTGCCTTTTCGCTGGCCGAGGCCAAGTTCACATCGGGTGACATCAATCAGGTGGTGCTGCAAAACGTGACCAAGGCACAAATCAAGATACGCACCAAAAAAGACAACGTTGCTGGCGTTACGCTGCCCGTCTTCGAGTCTTATCAGGATGGTGCCGATACCTACGAGCTGGCTGGCCTGGCCCGCGGTGGCCAGCAGCTGGCCAAGCTGAAGAAGAACTACCAGAGCGCCGTCAAGCTGCTCGTCGAGCTGGCTTCGCTGCAAACGTCATTCGTCACACTGGACGAGGTCATCAAGATCACAAATCGTCGTGTGAATGCCATCGAGCATGTCATCATACCGCGTATTGATCGCACACTGGCCTACATCATTTCGGAGCTGGACGAACTGGAGCGCGAGGAGTTCTATCGTTTGAAAAAGATTCAGGACAAGAAGCGCGAGGCCCGTGCCAAGGCAGATGCCAAAAAAGCTGATCTCCTTCAGCGGGGCATCGATGTGCGCGAACAGGCGAACATACTCGATGAGGGCGATGATGATGTGCTCTTTTAAGTATTAATCCCATAGCATGCGTATACGTGTGTGTATTCCAGCAATATGTTATTGTTACAAAAAAACAAGAAAAGATTAATTATTTGTTCCGTTTCCATTTTAATTCGCGAAAAAACAAAAAAAAAACTTATTGTATGTAGCTACGTGCAAACTTTGTAAGCTTAAAGTATATAGTGTAATTCCAATAAGAAAAATGTATGTATTCCATTTTGTAGTTATGTAGCGCTCAAATCATGCATTAAAGTCTTTTGTTGTTTCATGGAGCATCATAATTGTTGTAATTCAGATGAAAAGTGCATCAAACAATGGGAATCTATGGAAAAAAATGGGTCATCTGACTACTTTTTTACAATTGCAAAAACAATGCAAGTGCAGTCATGTGACAGCAACATATGGCCCTTGGGCGACAGTGTTGGTTAACGTCAATTGCTGCTCGAACAGCTGTGTTGCGTTTTCGCTGTTGTTCACGCGTGTTGGCATATTTGAATTATATTATTATTTTTTCCATAAAAATGTCAAGTTGTGAATTTCAAGCTGTAGTTTTAGCTGCGGGGCGTGGCACACGCCTGCCCGAAGTGCTGGGCGATTCACCCAAGTGTCTGCTGCCCGTGGGACCTTATCCCTTGATATGGTATCCACTCAACATGCTGAGCAGACACAACTTCACAGGTAAATAATTGGGCAAACAGCTTATGCGTACTTAAAGCAACCGTTTGTGTGTGTGTGTTTTTTAGAGGTAATCGTTGTGGTTCAGGAGCAGGACAAGCTGGAGATTCAACTGTCATTGGAGCACACGCCACTTAAAGTCAAAATCGACTATGCCACGGTGCCAAATGACAGCGATTTCGGCACAGCCGACAGCCTGCGCTATATATACGACAGGTGAGTGATTGTTGCACCATAAGAGCTGAGTAAAGGAAATTTGTGGTAAAGCTTAACGCTGCTTTGCGTTGTGCTTTGCGAACGTGATGCGTCTGAGGGATTTGGGCTTGGCGCGCCGGTTTAAGAAGCGAGAGGTCGCCGCCCAAGATCTAGCATCACTTTTCAAATTGTGTATTATTCTTGTATATAATGTATGATATTCTCTTTCAGAATCAAATCCGACTTTCTAGTTGTCAGCTGTGATATAGTCAGCAATGTCAGTTTATATCCGCTGATCAACAAGTTCCGTGCAGATGATGCGTCACTGGCGCTGCTGCTGTTCAAAAGTGGCTTTGAATCGGATGTTGTTATGCCAGGTCCCAAGACCAAGTATAAGCCAGAGCGCGACATGATCGGCATCCATACGGCCACGCAGCGTTTGGCATTTATTTTTGCTGCCAGCGACTGCGAGGATACGCTAAATATCAAACGGCATCTGCTCAAGAATAAAGGTCAACTGGATGTCTATGGACGCCTGCTGGATGCGCACATCTATGTGCTGAAGAAGTGGGTGATTAACTATCTGCACAGGGTATATTAAATGTGACATAATGCAAAAGTATTATTGCTTATATAAGTTTATTAATTGCAGAAGGAACAAATTTCAACATTTAAAGGCGAATTCTTGCCACATCTCATTCGAAAACAACACGCCAGGCGCTCAACGAAAATAGCGCCTGATACCACCTCTGAGCTGGGCGTCGGAACAAAGCACGAGGATAACATTTTGCATGTAAGCTATACAATTATTTCTTATCATTTGTAAGCTCCCCAATCAAAGCCCATTTACACAAATCTGTGTTAAGTATGTTACGCACACGGCGCTGGACCAGAAGCTCACACAGACTTCACTGTTCAATCAATCTTTGTCGCACATACCGTACCACGGCGACGTCGTGCGATGTTTTGCGGTGCAGGCGCCCAAGGATGCCATTGGCGTGCGTGTCAATAATACGCTCAGTTTCCTGGCCATTAATCGCAAGCTAGCCGGCATCTGGCAGGAACTGTGCGGCGACGCGCATCCCCTGATCTCACCCGGTGCAGTGGTCAAGTCAACGCAAACCAAGGACATCATTGTGGCCGACAATGCCAAGTTGTCGGAGAAAACGTCGCTTAACTTCAGCGTCTTTGGACCCAATTGTATTGTCCATCCGAAGAATATTGTGACCAATTCCATTATTATGGCTAATGCGATAGTGGAGGAGGGCTGCAACATAAATAACTGCATCATTGGATATCGTGCCCAGATCAAAAGCGGCTCTGTGCTCAATAACTGCCTGATTGGCCCGAACTATGTCGTGGAGGAGGGCACCAAGAGTCAAGCGTTGCAGCTATCCAACGCTGATCAGTATATGGAAATTGATATACAATGATGATCTTAAACTTAATGATGCTTCTTTATTAACGAAATGAGTTAGAAGGCGGATTCTTCTAGAAGGACATTAAATATTACAAATAAGGTACATAAAACTCGCGCTAAATTTTGGGACTATATTGTTGTTATAGCATATACATGTGTGTGTGTATGTGTGTGTGTGTGTCTAGTGACAAAGGGCGCTGACAGAGCTTAAAGCTAAAGAGAAACACTCCAAAACACAAGGCGTGGAACGACAAGACTGTTTGCATTGAGTGCGACCAGCTGGCCAGACGAGACGGTCAACTCATGATGCTCACTTCCTTCGCTCGTACAGGTACTCGTCCTCATAGTAGCGCGGCGTTGTCGAGGCAATGAACACCTGTGGCCGGCGCTGCTGCAGCGATATATTTATCTCTTCGGGCGTACGGTAGACCTGCTGCTGCTGCTGCTGATGCAAATGCTGTAGCGGCGCGGCCGTAAAGAAGCGATACTGTGGCGCCGGTGTCACTGTGGGCGCCAGCGTCTGCGGCCTTTGCTGCTGCTGATGATGCTGATGCAGCTGATGCAACTGCAGCTGTGGCTGTATCTGCGGCTGTATGGTTGTCGTGGGCAATGGCTTCCGATAGGCGATCGTCGTGGGCTGCGGCTGCTGGTGACGTATCTGTGTGACAACCTGCTGCTGCTGCTGCGGCTGTTGTTGGTATTGGACGCGCACTTGAGGCGCGTGCTGCAGCTGTTGTTGGTGCTGCTGCGGCTGCGGTTGATAAGCAAGCGCCTGACGATGCTGCTGTGGCTGCTGCTGCTGCTGCTGATGCTGATGCTGTATGCGTGGCCTAGGCGCGGGCTGCACCTCCTCCTCCTCCTCGTCGTCGTAGCGCTCGTGCTCGTAGTAGTTCTCTGGGAAATAGCGCTCCGAGTAGCGCAGCGTTACATTCGGCTTGCTCTGATGCTCCTGCAGATTGATGGGCTTGTACAGATAGTCATTGACAATGTGGTACTTGGAGGACTGCTTGCAGATGTTGTCGTGCGATGGGGGCATGCAAATCAAATGGATTTGATGGAAGGTGAAGCCCTCGGGGCATATCCACGAATGCTTTTGACTCTCCTGGCAGTAATGGAACACCTCGCAGCTCAGCGACTCATCCGCATAATAGCTATTGGAAAACATTTACAATTACAATTGACAAGCTTAAAAGAAGGTTTTGCTTGTGCTTACCCAGAGTTGCGATCCGTACAGCTGAAGGAGGACTTGCTAAGCAGCGTGGACAGACGATCGGGCTCCTCAACTTCTTCCTCCTCCTCCTCGCTCTCCTCGCTCAGTGGCCGCTTCTTGAGATAATTGTTCTGCTGTTTGGCATTGTTGCGATTGACGTAAACCTGGCGCGGCGCCTCCTCCTGATCCTCTTCACTGTACTCGTACAGCGGTCGCTGCTGTTGCTGCTGCGGCTGGCGATAGGCCAAATGTGTTTGTGCCTGCGTCTCAAACTCATCCTCATCATCGCCGCTGGCACTTACATCCAGGGAGCGCGCGGAAAATCCCTTCGGCTTCTCCGTGGTGGCCGTGGCTGTGGGTGCACCCGTGGCGGCGGCATGTGCGCAGGCGCACAGACCCATGGCCAGCAGGACTAGGGCCAAGCATCGATTGCGTCTGCAACAAACAAATAGAGAAATTGCCAATAGCAATCAGATTAGCCAAGTCATGCCATCAATAAGTAAGACTTTATGATATGGGAAACTTTTGTGGCAACCTCAATGCGCAAAACGCGGGAAAAATATTTGATTTTGCGCGAAACCTTTTGCCAAGCAACTACATCAACAACAACAACAGCAAAAGCAAAAGCAGAAGATGCAGCGAAGATGCCGCCAAATTGCAGCCAAAGAAGGCAACAACTGCGGCAGCCCAGCGACGCGTTATGCAAGACCAAGACACCAGACCAAGACCAGAAACAAGTTATAAGGCAATGGCAAGACGCCTGAGACACAGCTGGGCGCTGGGAGCTGAGAGCTTAGACATGGCAACTGGAAGCTGGGAGTCGTAAGCTCCAGCCAAGAAGTGCAGTTACTTTAGCTGTCGAAATTTTTGATAGCCATTAGTCGCCACAACGATACTCTGTTAAGATCCAGAGACAGCTGATGTCCCATTATGATATTCCATAAATATGGCCAGCTGATGTCCCAATACCATATTCCATAATAAAACACCACAAAGATATTTCTATTATAACTGAAGAGCCAAAAGAGAAGGCTTGGATTCATTTCAATTCTCGGAGCTGAAGAATGCGAACATATTCCTCGCTAATGACATTTCTTGAAGGGAATCCAAAGATTGTTAAAGAATGGGTAAGTGAATTGTCCTTTAACTAAAGCAAAAAAATAGCCTAGAATCTTACAGAAATAAGAATTATTAGTATATAACAAAAAAGTGAATCAATAAGATCATCTTTTATCATAACTTTAAATAAGCGAATCAAAACGACAGAATGATAAATTATGGATGTCAAGCTAGGTGTCCCCAGAGAAATGTTTGCTTCTCCAGTTTATCATATAAATTATACACATGTTGAATATTTTCACATATGAATGCCCGTAGTTCCATTTAAGGAGCTGGACAATTCGCTTTTTTGGGCATCAACTATTAAGAGTACCCCCTGGGAAAGGGTATAAAATGAAGATGTGCCGCTGCTGTTTTTGTTGTTGTTGTTGTTGTTGTTTTTGTTTAGTTGCTCACTTTTAAGCAGCGGGTTCAATTTGAGCGCCATTTAGTAAAACTTGGCCAACCTGGTTGAATGTCAACGGCGGCGCATACGCATCGTTGGCAGATACCACATACCTGGGGCCAGGTGACCGGCGGCTTGGCTCGGCTTGGCCAATGTTACGTGCCCGCGCAATGCAATTTAATTGAGGTATTTACGATCGAAAGCAAAACTGTTACCAATATCAAACAAAATAACAAAAATAATAGCAATAATAACAACAGCTAGAGCAAAGGCAAAGCAAACTTTTACTTTCGATGTGGAATCGGTGGACAGCTGGTGCTGTTAATGTTAATGCTAATGGCTGAGTCAATGGCTAAAAGGCGGCGCTAATTAAGGCATAAGTTAATAAAGCGAGTGCGAGTGCTTATGTAATGGCCCACTGCCTACACATTTAAAATGCTCGTACAATTTGTTTCAGCCATTCTAGCTGGCAATTTGTCAGGCTGTCTTTCTGTCTGTCTGTCTGTCTCTCTGTGTTTCGGCTGGCCTTTGCCAATTTGTTGTCCACCTTTGAACTTTTCGAGGTGAGTTAAGTACTTGTGGCAGCTGCAGCTGCTGCCTACATTGTCTGCTGGATTGTCACTGCTGCCAGCTACTGTTTGATTACGTTAATCCTAGGCCCATCATTTATCAGCATGACTTAACACCGAATACCGGCTGAGAGATAGCGTCGCCTTGGTTAAGTCATTAGCTGAAGTCATCAATTCGTTTAAATTGGTTTGCCAGTTGCCAGTTGCTAAATGCGAAACGTTTCCTAGTGCTCCACATAATCATGCGTTGCATGCCACAAAAGTGGCCGCACTGTCTGCCATAAATGGGAGCATGTGTTGCATACGCCGACTGCCTGCCTGCCCCTCTCACACGTCTGCCGTCTGTGGTGTTAGTAGTCCAGATGCCAAGCCAGATGTAGGCATGTGTACGTCTGGCTTTATAGCACCACATTACATCACATGAACGCCAAGAAACGATGCGTTGTTGATGTCTATGTGGATGGCTTTTCGCTTGTCTCCTTGTCGCCTTGTCTCTTGTCGCTTGTCTCTTGTCTTCAACTGCATCTGGTGCAGCTAACCGCTGCCGCAGCAAAAGTGGTTTCATTATGCACACTCATAGAAATTGTGTCTGTTTTCTTGGTTACCCAGTTTCAATTTTAGCAACTTTTTTTTTTTTAATGTTTATATTTTGGCCAGCAGCTGAAAACGTTTTGATTTCCTTAAAAGTTGGGCGTGTGTATGACATAAGACATGTTTTCAGATTATGAAATAGAAGATAAAGCCATATTTAGCTTGAGAAAAATTGTTGACCAGGAAAATATTGAGAACAAGTGTTTCAGGAAAATATAATGCATAATTATGTTGAAAAATTAATTAAATACGTATTCGTATTGATTCCTATTGAATTTAATTAGCGTTCAAGTTTTTTTCTTAGTCCTTTGATAATGCGCTAGTTTTCTTTCTTTTCGAAATTTGTTGAAAACAGTTGCAAATAACTTTTCCCTAAATAAATGCTCTTGTTACTTTAAGCCAATCAGCTCTACTAAATATTATTTATTTTCAGAAAGTTCGGATGGTCAAATTTGAAAACTCAAGTTTGTTGCCTAAGTCTTTCTATACAGATTTTATTCAATTTTAATAGTTATTATATTTGAAAACTAATACGATGAAACTTTGGCTTTGCTTGTTTGGTTCCTTTAACTAAAGCGATGCATATGTTGACATATGCCGCCTGAGTTTGTTGCTTAAGTCTTTCTACCGAACTTTATTCAAAATATTTTTAAACAGAATTTGCCTAATAAATTTCTTTTAAATTATTCCCATTATTACTTAAGCCTATACCAGCTTTATTCGATTTTTTGTATCTTACCAAATCTCTACTAGTTAAATTGAAAGCACCAAGTTCGTTGCCTAAGTCTTTCTATTTAATTTAATTTTAATACGCATTTTATTTAAACTAATAGCGACGAGTTAAGCTACTGCTTGAGCTGTTTAGTTGCCTTAACTATGGTAATTAATTGTCTTTAAGCGGGCCCAACGATTCCATTAGCTGCCATTTAACACCTGAGTTTGTTGCCTAAGTCTTTTGTTTTCACTTAAGCCACGAGTGCTATGTACTTTTATTTTATTGGTTAATTATACGCACGCTCGTTAGCAGAGCGCAAAAAAAAGACGAAATTGTTAAAAATGGAAAACAGAAAATAAATTACATTGCACTGTTACAATTGCAACAATTACGACTTAAATTGAAACAACTTTAATGTGCGTGCATTTGCGGGTCTGCGCGTCTTAATGTGCGCGGCCCTCTCTTTACGATCCGTTGATTTTTCAGCATGTGAATTATGTGGACGATAATTG